AGCCTTTCCTGGAACTCACTTGGTAGCCGAGGCTGGCCTCGAACTCACAGAGATCCGCCTGGCTCTGCCTCCCGAGTGCTGGGATTAAAGGTGTGTGCCACCAATGCCTGGCTAAATGTGTAGCCCAGGCTGGCCTCGAACTCGTGATCCTCCTGCCTCTGCCTCCTTCAGCAAATCCTACCGGCGTGCGCCGCCGCCGCCGCCGCCGCCGCCGCCACCACCACCACCACCACCACCACCGGCCCAATCCTTCTTAAACTATTTTTTTATTTTTTTTTTATTTTTTTAAGATTTATTTATTATGTATACAGTGTTTTGTCTCCATGTAGACTTGCAGGCTAGAAGAAGGCACCAGATCTCATTACAGATGGTTGTGAGCCACCATGTGGATGCTGGGAATTGAACTCAGGACCTTTGGAAGAGCAGCCAGTGCTCTTAACCTCTGAGCCATCTCTCCAGCCCCTTCTTAAACTATTTTTTAAAAAGAAGAAAAGGAAGGATAAAAACTGAAGAATCACTCCCAATCTTGTTCTATGAAGCCAGTAGTGTGCCAATACCCAAACCACACAAAGACAATACAAGAACAACAAAAGCTACAAAATAATATCCCTGAGGAATCTAGAACCAAAATCCATCAACAAACACTAGCAAAACAAATGCAAACACATATCAAGGAGATAATCACCACAATCATGTTGGCCTTATCCTAGAAATGCAGGGTTGGATCAACTTAATAAGTCAACTACTATACCCAGCAAAATTGTCAATCACCATAGATGGAGAAAACAAGGTATTTCATGACAAAGTCAAATTTAAACAATATCTATCTACAAACACAGCCCTACAGAAGGTAATAGAAGGAAAACAACAATTCCAGGAAGATAGCTACAGCCACAAAGACACAGGCAATAGATAATCTCACACCAGCAAAACCCAAAGATGGAAAACACACCCAGACAGGTGCTCACATGCACATGCATGAGCATACACACACACACACACACACACATACACAAACACACACACACACACACACACACACACCACTACCAACAACAACAGCAAAATAACAGGAATTAACAATCATTGGTCATTAATACCTCTCAATGGATTCAATTTCCAATAAAATGACACAGGCTAATGAATTGGATAAGAAAACAAGTTCCATCATTCTGCTGCATACAAGAAACACACCTCAACATCAATGAGAGACATTACCTTGGAGCAAAGGGTTGGCAAAGGTTTTTCAATCAAATGTATCTAAGAAACAAGCTGGTCTAGCTATCCTAATAGCTAACAAAATAGACTTCTAACCAAAATTAATCAAAAGAGATGGAGAAGGGCATTTCAAAGGAAAAATGCACCAAGATCAGATATCTCAACTCTGAGCATCTATGCCACAAATGTAAGGGCACACACATTTGTAAAAGTAACATTACTAAAGCTTAAACTACACATTGAACCCCATACAATAGTAGTGGGAAACTTTAACACCACACCCCCACCAATGGACAGGTCATCCAGACACAAACTAAACAGAAATAAAGGAACTATCAGACATGATTCAAATGGACATAACATGTCTACAGAACATTTCACTCAAACACAAAAGAATACACTTTCTTCTCAGCACCTCATGGAACCTTCCCCAAAAGTGATCATATACTCAGCCACAAAGCAAGTCTCAACATATCCAAAGAAATTGAAATAACACCTTGTATGTTATTAGACCACCAAGGATTAAAGCTGGATTTCAACAACAACAGAAACTACAGAAAGCCTAAAAACTCAGAGATACTAAATAACTCTCTGCTGAGTTACCACTGGGTCACGGAAGGAATAAAGAAAGAAGATAAAGACTTCCTAGAATTTAATGAAAATGAATGCAAAACATACTCAAACTTATGGGACATAATGAAAGTGGTGCTAAGAGGAAAGTTCATAGCATGAAGGGCCTTCATGAAGAATTTGGAGAGATCTCATACTAGTGACTTAACAGCACATCTGAAAGTGATAGAATAAAAAGAAGCAGACACACCTAAGAGGAATAAACAGCAGGAAATAATCAAATTAAGGGCTGAAATCAATAAAATAGAAACAAAGAGGATAATACAAAGAATCAATGAAACAAAGTTTGTTCTTTGAGCAAATCAATGAAATAGATAAACCCTTGTCCAAACTAGCCAAGAGGCAGAGAGACAATATCCAAATCAACAAATTAGAAACTAAAAGGGGGGCATAACAACAGACACTGAGGAAATTCAGAGAATCGTTAGGTCAGACTTCAAAAACCTGTACTCCACAAACTTGGAAACGGAAAATTTTCTTGATAGATACTATTTACCTAAGTTAAGTAAAGATCAGATAAACAATGTAAATAGACCAATAACCCTAAGGAAATAGAAGCAGTTATTAAAAGTCTCCCAACCAAAAAAAAGCCAAGGGTCAGACAGATTTAGTGCAGAATTCTATCAGACTTTCAAAGTAGCACTAAGACCAATACTCCTCAAACTATTCCACAAAATAGAAACAGAAGGAACTTGCCAAATTCTTTCTATGAGGCCATAGTCACCCAAATAACCACACAAAGATCCAACAAATAATCACAGACCAATTTCACTCATGAACATTGATGCAAAAGTACTCAATAAAATACTTGGTAAACTGGGAGCGAGCGATCAAGCCAGCCATCAAGCACATCTGTGGGGTGACCGGCAGGGCTGGTGCAGTGCTGGCGGGTAGCGAGCGGCTCGGCCTGCGCGGCGGGCAAGGACAGCGAGCAAACTATATAATGGCAATTGAAAGAAAGACGTCTAACGTTTAGTGGCTGCATCTGTCTTCTATCTTCTCACCCTTAAAAGAAGAGTAAATGGAATGTTTCAGAAGGAAGCTCCATAAAAAGTATTGCAAATGGCTTCAGAGTCTACCAATGGGAAACAAGTTAGGAGTCACGTGACAAAGGGGCGTCTTCTGTCAGCGCGTGTGATGGCGAAGACTCCTTCATCTTTGAAGCCAACGAAGCATGGAAAGACTTCCACAGTTCTCTCCTCCAGTTCTATGAGAATGGGGAGCTCTGTGATGTCACACTGAAGGTTGGCTCAAAGGTGATCTCTTGTCACAAACTGGTGCTAGCTTGTGTGATTCCCTACTTCAGAGCCATGTTTCTTTCTGAAATGGTTGAAGCCAAGCAGGTGCTGATTGCGATTTGAGACTTTGATGGTGATGCTGTGGAAGACTTGGTGAAATTCGTCTACTCTTCACGGCTCATGTTGACAGTAGACAATGTCCAGCCTCTCCTGTATGCAGCATATATCCTGCAGGTTGAACTGGTGGCCGGGGCTTGCTGTGAATACATGAAGTTACATTTTCATCCCTCCAGTTGCCTGGCAGTAGGAGCCTTTGCGGAGAGTCACAACCGAATAGACCTGATGGACATGGCGGACCAGTATGCCTGCGAGCACTTTACTGAAGCGGTGGAGTGTGAAGACTTCGTAAGTGTGTCACCCCCAGCACCTCCACAAGCTTCTGTCCTCCAGTGATCTCAACATCGACAGTGAAAAGCTGGTCTACAGTACTGCTATCAACTGGCTTCTTGCCAATCCCCAGCATCATTCTAAATGGCTGGATGAGACACGTGCACAAGTCGTCTGCCATTATTGCCGGTTGATTTTCTTATGGGTATTGTGGCAAAAGAACAGATTGTCAAGCAAAACCTAAAAATGTAGAGATCTACTGGATGAAGTAAGCAACTATCACCTTCATTTGAGCAGCAAACTGGTCCCTGACTTTGAGTACACGGTCCGCACTACCCCAAGGAAGCATATGGCTGGTGTGCTGTTCTATGTAGGTGGTCAAGGTGGATCTGGTGACCCCTTTTGTAGTATTGAATGCTATTCTGTCAACAAAAACAGTTGGTTCTTTAGACCAGAAATGACTAGCTGAAGGCAGCATGTGGGTGTGATCTCTGAAAGGTAAAGTGTATGCAGTGGGTGGACATGATGGGAATGAGCATTTAGGTAGCATGGAGATGTTTGATCCTCTCACTAATAAATGGATGATGAAGGTGTCAATGAACACCAAGAGGAGAGGAATTGCTTTGGCCTCCTTAGGGGGCCCAATATATGCAATTGGAGGATTAGATGATAATACTTGCTTTAGTGATGTGGAGAGATACGACATCGAATCTGACCAGTGGAGTACAGTGGCACCAATGAACACTCCCCGTGGAGGTGTTGGCTCTGTGGCTTTAGTGAACCATGTTTACGCAGTGGGTGGCAATGATGGAGTGGCCTCCTTATCCATTGTGGAGAGGTACCATCCACATCTGGACAAGTGGATAGAGGTCAAGGAAATAGGTCAGCGCAGAGCAGGCAATGGTGTTAGTGAACTTCACAGCTGCTTATATGTTGTTAGTGGTTTTGATGATAACTCCCCTCTGAGTTCAGTTGAACGGTACGACCCCCGAAGCAACAAGTGGGATTATGTGGTAGCAGTCACGACTCCCCGGGGAGGAGTAGGCATCGCTACCGTGATGGGCAAAATCTTTGCAGTTGGCGGTCACAATGGCAATGCATACCTAAACACAGTGGAGGCATTTGATCCAGTGCTGAATAAGTGGATCTGGTCGGACCTGTGTCCCACTGCCAAGCCAGTGCTGGTGTAGCCGTGTGTGACTGTTTAACTAGCCAGATCTGTAGGTCACGGGTCCACTAATGTGGTGGAGTGTATGTGACGTGAATCCCAGCAGCAACTGTGCAACCACACGGGATGCTCGGGAAGACAGCCAGCATTTGATACGGCCCCCTCTGATTTGAACGTCAGCTGTTGTGGTGTGGGTACACCTTGTGGACTGATGGCTGGAGAATGGTAGTCACAGAGTTGGGTTTCCTGCTCTAGCAAATAATGAAGCCGTCTATCTTTGAACCCATTCTTGTTCTGAAAGACGTTTCATGTAGTGCCAAACCTTAAAATAGCTGTTTATTTTGATGAATAAAATTTAATTTATTGAGTTTTATCTATTCTTTCTCCTGAAGATACTAGCTTCAGTCAGCAGATTTTTCCCTGAGGAGTGAAGAATCTGCTCATTAACATAAGGACTTGAGGCTCATTCGATATGGCGCTGATGAATTGATGTTTTGCTTTTTGTCTCTAGACGGTGACTTTCAGTTCTTGAGTGTTTACCAAGTAGGAAAATGTGTGTTTCTGAGGCATTCTTGAAACCATATTAGTGTCTGTAAGAAGCCCTTTGTTTCTGTTTGGAGTTTTAGAACTACAGAATGCAACCATGCTAGGCCCTCACCAAGTGTACTGGCTGTTCTTTGGGCTGTTGTTTTCCATTTTTCCCATCTCATGCAACTTGTGCACCTGAGAATGTCTTAGTAAAAACTTTAGACTAGTGTAGTCCAGTGCCCAGTGGGGAGACTTGGAAAAGAAATGTGTGACACACGTCACCACCTAGGGAAGAAAACCTCAAGGGTCCTTTCACCTTGGTCTCTGGTTTAATCCTTGGGTTTTGGACCCAGGATCCATTTTCTTCTTATTCTGTTATTTGTCACTGTCTTGATTTTCTAATTGTACAAAGCTGCATTTATTTATTATCAGGAGATGAATGCATTTTTAGAAAAGCCCTTTATGTAGTATAGTTTGATGATTAGTTCAAGTTTGAAATTAATTAATAAAATATGTTATTGGTAAAAACAGAAAAAAATTACTGGCAAACTGAATCCAAGAACACATAAAAAAGGTCATTCACCAAGACCAAGTAGGCTTGATCCCAGAAATGTAGAGATGGTTCAACATATGAAAATCTGTCAATGTAATACACCATATAAACAAACTAAAAGAAAAAAAACACATGATCATCTTGTTAGATGCTGAAAAAGCCTTTGACAAAATCCAACACCCTTTCATGATAAAAATCTTGGAGAAATCAGGGATACAAGGGATATACATAAAAATAGTGAAAGCAATATACAGCAAGCCAACAGCCACCATCAAATTAAATGGAGAGAAACTCAAAGCAGTTCTACTAAAATCAGGAACAAGGCAAGGTTGTCTGTCCACTCTCTCCATACCTGTTCAATATAGTACTTGAAGTTCTAGCTAAAGCAATAAGACAACAAAAAGAAATCAGGGGATACAAATTGGAAAGGAAGAAGTCAAAGTGTCATCATTCACAGGTGATATGATAGTATACATAAGCAAACCCAAAAAACTCTACCAGGAAACTCCTACAGCTCATAAACACCTTTAGTCAAGTGGCTGAATATAATATTAACTCAAAAAAATCAGTAGCCCTTTTATATACAAATAACGAATGGGTTGAGAAAGAAAACAGAGAATCAACAACCTTTACAATAACCTCAAAAAAAGATAAAATATCTTGGTGGAATTCTAACCAAGCAAATGAAAGACCTGTATGACAAGAACTTCAAGTCTTTAGAGAAAGGAATTGAAGAATGTATCAGAATATGGAAAGATGGTCCATGTTCATGAATCAGCAGAATTAATGTAGTAGTAAAAATGGCCATCCTACCCAAAAGCAATCTACAGATTCAATGCAATCCCCATTCAAATCTCAACACAATTCTTTGCAGGCCTTACAAGAACAATACTCAACTTCATATGAAAAAAACCAAAACTCCAGATAGCTAAAACAATCCTGTACAATGAAAGAACTTCTAAAGGCATCACTATCCCTGATTTTAAGCTATACTACAGAGCTACAGTGATAAAACCCCATGGTATTAGCATAAAAGCAGACAGGTAGTTCAATGTAATCAAAAGGAAGACCCAGATGTAAATCCACACACCTATGGATATCTGATTTTCAACAAAGAAATCGAAATGATAAAATGGAAAAAAGAAAGCAACTTCAACAAATGCAACAAATGGTGCTGGCATAACTGAATGTTGGCATGTAGAAGAATGTAAATTGATCCATATTTATCACCCTGTCCAAAACCAAGCCCAAATGCACTCAGAGACCTCAACATAAGTCCAGGTACATTGAACCTAATAGAAGAGAAAGTGGGAAGTAGTCTTGAATGCATTGGTACAGGAGACAACTCTCTGAACAGAACAGCAATAACACATGCACTAAGATTGACAATTAATAAATGGGACCTCATGAAATTAAAAAGTTTCTGTAAGGCAAAAGACACTGTCAATAAGGCAAAACAGCAGCCTACAGAATGGGAAAAGATCTTCTTCAACCCCACATCTGACAGAGGGCTGATTTCCAAAACATATAAAGAACTCAAGAAACTAGATATCAACAAACCAAATAATCCAATTAAAAATGGGGTACAGATCTAAACAGAGAATTCTCAACAGAAGAATCTCAAATGGCCGAAAGACGTTTAAGGAATTATTCAACATCCTTAGTCATCAGGGAAATGCGAATCAAAATGACTCTGAGATACCATCTTACACCTGTCAGAATGGCTAAAATCAAAAACACTGATGACAGCTTATGTTGGAGAGGATGTGGAGCAAGAGAAATATGTCTCTATTGCTGGTGGGAGTACAAAGTTGTACAATCACTTTGGAAGTCAGTGTGGCAGTTTCTCAGAAAATTGGGATCAACCTGCCACAAGACAAAGTTATATCTCTCTTGGGCACACACCCAAAACATGCTCAATAATGCCACAAAGACACTTACTTCCTCTACTATGCTCATAGTAGCTTTGTTTGTAATAGCCAGAACCTAGAAAAAATCTAGATGTCCCCCAACCAAATTATGGATAAAGAAAATGTGGTACATCTACACAATGGGTTACTACTCAGCAGAGAAACAATGACATGGTGAAATTTGCAGGCAAATGGATGGAATTAGATAAAATCATCCTGAGTGATGTAACCCAGACCCAGAAAGACAAACATGGTATGTACTCACTCATAAGTGGATAATAATTGTAAAATAAAGGATAACTATGCTACAATCCACAGACCTAGAGAGACTAGGTAACAAGGAGGGTTCATAGGGAGATACCCAGATCTCCCTGGAAAAAGGAAATGAAGATTTCATGAATGGACTGAAGGTGGGTGGATATAGGAATATGAGCGATCAGTTTGGAAGTGGCACAGAGAGGAAGAGTACTGAGGGGTACTGCTGGAGGGGGAGCATTTTGGGTGGGCTGGAAGCCTGGTCGGGAATTTCCCAGGAGTCTACAGGGAGGACCCCAGCTTAGACTCCTAGCGGTAGTGGGTAAGTAACCTGAACTTACTTCCCAATTAGTGCCTGGCCCAATTATCATCAGAGAGGTGTCATCCAGCAACTAATGGAGGCAGATTCAGATACTCACAGCCAAACATTAGGCTCAGGAATCCTGGTGAGGAAGAGGAGGAGAAAGAAGTGTAGGAGCCAGAAAGGTCAAGAACAGCATAAGAAAACCCACAGAATCAACCAACCTGGGTTCACAGGGGCTCACAGAGACTTAACAACCAAGGAACCTGCATGGGTCTGACTTAAGCACTCTGCATATATATTCCAATTGTGTAGCTTGGTGCTCTTGTGGGACTCCTAACAGTGGGAACAGGTGCTGTCTCTGACTCTTTTATTGGCTTTTGGGACTCTACTCCTCATACTGGGTTGTCTTGCCCAGTCTGAATAAATGGGGAGGTGCTTAGTCTTACTGCAGCTTGATATGACATGTTTTGTTCATACTCATGGGAGATCTGCCCTTTCCTGGATGGAGATGGAGAAGGGGATTGGGGGGTGAGAGCAGGAAGAATGGGGGGAGAAAACTAGGAGGGGAGGATGGGAGAGACTGCAGCTGGAGTGTAAAATAGATGAGTAAAAAAGAAAAACAGGAAAAAATTTAAATCTAAAAACTTGTATGTATGTATACACATATACATGTATATTATGTACATATTTTTAAGGAAATATAAAATTTTTCCCTATGACTTTCAACCATCCTTAGTGTCTTTATCCCTCCTACTTCCCTGTCCATTAGCATCAGCATTGGCCTCACCAGCTCTCCCCAGATAAAGCTATCCCCCATTTTCCCATGTCTCCTTTCATAGCACCTGTGTCTTACTACTCTCTTATCTAAATCACCTTTCCCAACCCCAAACCATGCTATTTGTAGGAAAATGAATACAACTTGAAATCATGTTAAGCAAAAGAAGTCATATTCTGGTAAACATAAGTCATGTGATCTCTGAATATTAGTCTTGAAAAAATACATATTTATTTCTGTTGCTCACCCACAATATGTGAGTTATTACAACATATGCATCATTTTCCCTGGAAGCACTAGAGTTGAAAATGAAATGAAAAAGTAAATTCTCTGGATTAAAGTACTTTTCATATCCCTCCTGTCTCCTACTCAAATACCCCATTCTTTCTGACTTAGCTCAATTACTACCCTGTGATTTTGAAGAAAAAGGATACAGTCCTTGAGATCAGGCCAAATTTGAGAGAACAACCCCCTTTTGCTCATTATATTTGATTGTGTGTATGTTTCATGGTGCATCTCTACATAAATTTCCTCTACCAGCAAAGGATATCCAAGAGCTTATTTTTAGAATGGAAATTTATTTAATTCAGAATGTAAAGTGACAAATGAGAGAGTCAGTATATATCAAGTACAAGTACCACAAAGAAAAGAGAAGCAATGTAATAGAATAGATGAAACATATGAAGATACAGGAGTAAGTACATTAATATTCATCTTAGTACAGTGTCTGGATGAGTAAAAAAATGAAAAAGTACTAGCTGTAATTGCTACAGCTGTCATATGAATAATGTGGTTTGATTTTTTTTAATTTAGAATATACAATTATCAAGTCTCATGTTCATGTTGCAATTGAGAAAGCTAATTAATATTCAGATGGATTTGGCTTTTTCAAGATCTGGAAATCAAGTGGTATAGATCCTAGCCATCTTCATAATTATTGACTTCCCACCTATTTTTTTTATGATCAACAGACTGATGAATTCATTACATGGCTGGAAATCCTATATGTTCCCTAGAAAATTTCTTTATCTTCAGATCCAAAACCACCTAAAAAGATTTAGGATGCACACAAAAGAAACACAATTACAAGCAGACAAGTTGATGTAAGCTTGTAAGTCCAGCATTGGAGCTGAAATATGACTATCATGAGTTAGAGTCATGCAGAGATTGGTGACAGTCCAATGCGCCTCCTGTTTATGACATTGAAAGTTATAGCGGAGAAGTTTGCGCATGTGTGTGCACATATGTGTGATGGTAGAACTGGTAGAGTAATGACTGTAAATTAGAAAGAAGTTTCTTTGAAAGTCAGAATTCCCTAAGTGAAGACTGAATGAGAAGAAAACCTTAAAATCCTAGTGAGGTAGACTGAATGAAATAGCATGAAGTTCAACCAGCCAAGGAGATTATTTCTGGATGAACACAAGCTTGAAAGAATTCCATATAACAAGGTCTCCTCCTATCCTTTGCACATCATCTATATGCAACTATCCCTTAGCAAGCACATCTCTCCATGGACTCTCATTCTTCTTCTCTGTACAAGTCTCTATCCATGACCTCTTACATCTAGCAAAAAAAAAAAAAAAAAAAAAGGAAAACAAATATGAGACATAACACACAGTGAAAAATTAATTTCTGTTTTTGGAATTGCTTACATTTTCAAAGTTAGTTGATTGAAGATCATGATAAACCTGTAATTAGCCTATGAATGAAATTACTGTCACTCTAGGGTCTGTGAAAAGGGGCGACAATATTTAGAGCAACTACATTTAGTTAGGGAGCATCTCTTCATTGTCTTGTAGTAATGTGAAATAAATTAAAATTTTCAACCTAATACAGCATACCCCTATTAAGTCTATCAAACTACAAATAGGGCTTGTCATTCTCTTAAATGAAACATAGATGCCTTTACAAATGCATCATGAGGAGTATTAATTAAAATGAATCATTGTTGCCATCAGAGATAGGGCTACCAACAAAAGTCAGTCAACAAACTTTCCCACTATGAGATATGGAACACCCTTCCATAACAACTGTGCCCCTAGGCTTAACAATTAATAAAAATTTTCTGTGTAACTGGATTTATGTTGAGGTCATAAATCCAGTTACACGGAACTTGATAGAAGAGAAAGTAGGAAGTTGTCTGGAATGCATTGGCACAGGAGACCACTTCCTAAATATAACACCAGTAGAACAGACACTGAGAGTGACAATTAATAGATGGGACCTCCTGAAACTGAGAAGCTTTTGTAGAGCAAAGGACACAGTCAATAAAACAAAATAATAGCCTACAGAATGGGAAAAGATCTTCACCAACCCCACATCTAATAAAGGGCTGATCTCCAAAATATATAAAGAACTCAAAAAGCTAAACTTCAAAATACAGAACAATCCAATTAAAAAATGGGGTACAGAGCTTAACAGAGAATTCTCAACAAAAGAATCTCAAATGGCTGAAAGGCTTTTAAGGAATTGCTCAACATCCTTAGTCATCAGGGAAATGCAAATCAAAACAACTCTGAGACACCATCTTACACCTGTCAGAATGGCTAAGATCAAAAACACTGAAAACAGTTATGTCAGAGAGGATGTGGAACAAGGGGAACACTCCTCCACTGTTGGTGGGAATGCAAACTTGTACAGCCATTCTGGAAATCAGTATGGTGGTTTCTCAGAAAATTGGGAACAAGTCTTCCTCAAGACCCAGTTATACCACTCTTGGGCATATACCCAAGAAATACTCAATCTTACCACAAAGACACATGCTCAACTATTTTCATGTCAGCATTATTCATAATTGTCAGAACCTGGAAATAACCTAGATGTGCCTCAACTGAAGAATGCATGAAGAAAATGTGGCACATATACACAATGGAGTACTACTCAGCAGTAAAAAAAAAAATGATATCAAGAAATTTGCAGTCAAATGGATGGAACTAGAAAATATCCTGAATGAGGTAACCCAGACTTAGAAGGACAAATATAGTATGTACTCACTCATAAGTGGATACCAGATGTGAGGGAAGGGATGGCCATACTGCAACCCACAACTCCAGAGAGGCTAGCTAACAGAGAAAGACCCTAGGAGGAACACATGAATGACCCTGCAAAGGAGAAGTGGATGAGATCTACATGAGCAGACTGGGTTTGGTGGGGGCGGGGGGTGGCAGAGGGTGAGGAGTGGGAGACGTGAACATAAGAAAATGGGAGGGTCAAGCTGGAACAGGAACAGAGTGGGAGGGCAGGGAGGAAGATACCATGATAGATGAGGACATCATAGGAATAGGAAGAGGCAGGGTTATGGGGATGCTCTCAGGAATCCACAAGGATGACCCCACCTTGGTCTGCTGGCAGTGTTCCAGAGGTGCCTGGACTGATCTACTCTGGTGACCGGCCTAGCAAATAACCTAGCTGTCATCATAGAGCCTTTGACCAGTGACTGATGGAGGCAAATGCAGAGATCCATGTCCAGGCACCAGGCTGAGCTCCAGGAATCCAATTGATGAGAGAGAAGAGGGACATCGAGATCATGATGGGAGGACATGCAGAGATGACCGGCCACGCTAGAGGAAGCCCATGAACTGTGGACTGGTGGCTGTGGAGCCCCCATGGGACTGGACTAGGCCCTCTGGATATGGAAGATGGTTGTTTGGCTCGAACTGTTTGGGGGGCACCCAGGCAGGGGGATCGGGATCTGTCCCTGGTATATGGGCAGGCTTCTGGAAATCCAGTGCCTATGGTGTGATGCCTTGCACAGCCTTGGTGCAGTGGGAAGGGCCTTGGACCTGCCTAGGCTCAGTGTGCTGGGCACTGCTGACTCCCCATAGGAGGAGACCTTGATTGGGAGGATGTGGGGATGCAGGGTGGCTTGGGAGAGAGGGCTAGGGGTAGGAGGAGGAAGGAGGGGGAATCTGTGGATGGTATGCGAAGTGAGTAGAAAATTTCTTAATAAATAAAAATGAAAAAAAAAAAGAAAAAAGTGTTCTGTATGGAAAGCCTCCTAACACACTAAACTCATACTGTGAAGTGTTCAGATGTCCCACCTCCCACATTGTTCATTTATATTGAGGAGTGTGGGTTAATAGTATAACTGATGAAGATTACATATGCAAAAACAGTTTATTTATCTTCCCTGGATCTTCCAGAAAGGAAAACATCACTGCACTGGAATAAGAAGGCTCAAAAGTCTGGCACATGAAAGACTAGAGAATAATACTGGCCTCAGAGAAAGTTCAGTCCCAGCAGAATGAGGAACTCTTTCAAATCTCCAACCTTAGGCAGGGCGAAAGGCAAGATCCCCATGTGATTATTCTGAAATACGGAAAGAGGGGGTGTATATAGTAAGACTAGCATTTTGGAAAAAAATATAGAGAAGTAAAGCAGAAACTGGCAGCCACCCGAATTACCAATCTCTTCAGCAGCAGGAGGATGGAAGAAAGAAAAGAAGTATCTTCACATAGGATGGAGATCTGGTTGGCCCTGCTGCTCCTGGGCCACCTAAGAGTGCTCACCTACGGTAAGGTAGCACACTCATGCCTGACTACCACTTTTACCTCCAGCAGAGGGTGTGGGTGTTGATGTTGAGTGTTTACTGAGAAAAGCTTGTTCTTGGTGGTCAGTCACAGTTACATGCAGTTCTGCAAGCTTTCTGAACTTTGGGCAGAAGGGAGGGAATCATTGAAATCGGGTAAAAGTTCCAAAAGCTGCCTTGGGTAGAAATTGAAAAGGTTCTTCTCTTAGAATGTATCTGCATGATTTTCCAGTATTTCAGGGATGTCAGAAGACTTCAAAGTCACCCAAACCTCCTATATTCTTCTTCTTTTCCCTTGAAATTCTACAATAATAACTAACTTCTCATTTCCAATCTTTGATTCTTGCTACAATAAACTTCCCCCAATGAATAAATGTTTAATAAGTAAGTGAGACCTTAGAAGTAACCTATAGCCAGGGATGGTAGGGCACACATTTCATCCTAGCACTTGGAAGGCAGAGGCACTCTGGTTGATCTTCATGGGTTCAAGGACACGTTCGTCTTTATAGAAAGCTTCAGGAGGTCTTAGGCTACATGGTAAGGCTCAATTTTTAAATAAATAAATAAAAGCAACATGCACCATCAATTAGAATTACTTACAAGTGCTTAGCATTTGCTCTTCACACACTTTCAGAGCACAGACATTTACTGATCTCCACCAGACTCTGATCAGGAGCATTTCCATATATTACTTGTGTTGTGCTAAATCCACTTCTCTGTTGTTTCTGTCCAAGGGCTTCTCACTATCAAACCAGAACACACATCCTTCATTTTTCCATGTCAGCACTTAAAATGTCTGAAGAAAGGAAGAAACTATATCCCTTTAGCTCTCCTCTTCTCCAAGCTAAACATCTCTAGCTTCTTCAACTAAAGGACTTGCTGCTGAAATAGCTCACTTCTTTCTAGACACAGTAACCCAGTTGTAGGGGCTGATGTGGGGACCTAATTCAGAGACACAGCCCAGCAGTGTCTATGCTAGCTCAGGGGAGCATTCTCTGAATCTTCCTCCACACTCATTTATTATTATTATTATTATTATTATTATTATTATTATTATTATTATTATTTTATTATTTTACATTTTTTAAATGCTGAATACCATTTATTGAAGGAGGGAGGAGGTCTTAAATACAGGCTTACAACACAATGGGAGAACCCCAGAGGGCAGAAGTTTGCTACCGATGTTTTACAATCTTGCATCTAAGCTGTTAACACCCATTAAGCAGGATACACAGACAAGGATCTTCCCTTAAACATTCAGGAGGGTGGAACCCAGCAGGGAATTAGCATAGGGAGGATATCAAGGTCAAGGTCAGCAAGCAAAGCAACAGTTACCCAAAACAGGGGCCAGGACCCTACAGGTCCCCCTTTCACTAAAAAATGAGCTTCTGACTTAGGTTACATGGGATGTCAGCAGGTCACCTTACCCGTCATGGAGACGCCTGCCCAGGCCACACACTCATTTATAACTCAAGGAAATGAAATGCCTTTTAGGGAACTAAGTGCAAGGAAGAACTAAGTAAGACTCAGGATAGGGGAACCGGACTCAGCTGAACTTCTGCTTCGTTCATCTTCCTAGAGGGCAAGACCAAATCAATCATAATGTCAAGTATCTAACAATACTGAATTATGCTTATTTGCTATTTTTTCAACCAGCTCTAGAGATTACTCAGGTTCATTTCTTTTCCAGACCAAGCATAGATGAAATCTATTCCCACATCAGGATATAATTTTCTAATATTTTTGGTAATAACTAAAAGAAATGAAAAAGGAAAGAATGAAAAACGAAGAATAAGGACAAAAAATCAGCTAGGCTTACTTGCAAAGTACAAGTTTCAAACCTAATAGCCAATGGTTTGGTTAAATAGGAATCTGCATCCAGGTTTTTTGGTTCACCTTTAGATTCTCCTATTGATTATCTTCCAGAAAAGAACTTGAATTTGTGTCCCAACCTTTTCTCTTGAGTGAGGAAAAAAGATCGTAGAGCAGAGGGCTGATTCAAGCATGTATCTACACAAAATAAACTACTTCAGTTTCAACTATTCACCCTTCTTCTTCCTACATCTCATTTGAAAGTAGTGAAAGAAGAATTGTGGATGGGTAAAAGATCATAGAATCCCTAAAGGCTAGTACTACCCTAAATCTCCACTTACTACTTGGGAGAAAACATTGGTCCTTCAGTTTACTTAGATTCACCGCCTAGCAAGACAGTGACATAAAAGGACCTGAAAGCACTATAGCTAAAGAGTGTTAAGGACTTAATCCCCCAAACTCCCTTGAATTGATGAGAAACCTATCAGAATATGCCAGGGATGATGAAAGTATGCTTGAGGAAAAGGGTTTCTTACAAAGCTATTGAGCCTGTCATTCACACCCTCACTCAAGTGAACATGTCATCTGTGTTTGCTCATTTTACTTTGTTCCCTGTCTTTAGGCCATCCCATCCTAAAAGCACCAGACAGTGTGACAGGGACCTGGAAAGGGGACGTGACATTTCAGTGCATCTATGTTCCCATGAGAGGCTACAGTCAAGTTTTGGTGAAATGGCTGGTACAACATGGCTCTGACCCAGTCACCATCTTCCTACGTGACTCCTCGGGTGACCATATCCAGCAGGCAAAATACAGAGACCGCCTGAAAGTGAGCCACAAAGTTCCAGGGGATGTGTCTCTCCAACTGAATGCCCTACACATGGATGACAGTAGTCACTACACATGTGAGGTCACCTGGCAGACCCCCGATGGAAACAAAGTGACGAGAGATAAGATTATTGAGCTCCGTGTCCAGAAATGTAAGTCATTGTAAAGAAGAGAAATGCATTGGTAAAAAAGACATAATAGAGTACTGTAATCCTAGACACCTCTGAGGAATTAAGAGTCTTTGGTTTATATGTTCTTAGGTTCTCTCTAATTCTATGTGCTAGTCACAGGATGCTTGAGGTCATTACCCCATTTGAGAACTTAATTGTGATGGGAAATACAAATGCATTACTTTTAAAAATCTCTCCTTCTGCCATGCCTTCTCTCCTATATTTACAAAAGTCTTTCTGAGAGAGGTAGTTCCCCACTAGCTGTACTTCCCAGTTTACCACAAAACTTTGCAAACTGAAATCAGCATGGTCCTCTCCATAACAAAAGCACAAACTTTATCCACTCACATCCAACCATATACAATTCTCTGCGGCAGGACAACCCACTGCCATTCCTTTCTCCTCATTTAATCACTTTTACACCATTTCTCAGAGGGATTCTTTCTAAATTATTTGCTGGTTCTTCTATTCACTACTTTAAGTAAAGTTCTCCAAGTTTATATTACTGCTGTTCTATACCTAGAGTAGAGGACTTTATTCACTTCACTACGCTTGAATATTTTCATTTCTAATCTTACAGTATACAGGTTGTCTCTCTTAACTCTTTGAATATTTCTTTTCCAGTACAGATACTTTTTGGTTGGATGTAATACCATGGGAATGTAATGTTTTTTCCTATGTGTGTTTTAGAGGTTGTAACCAGAAAATCATTGCCTCTACTCATATCTTGAAGTGTTGTTGTGGTTTTTTTTAATGTTGGCTTCTAATAGATTCAGAGTTCCCAATTTTACATTGGCGTCTTTCATCCACTTCAGTAGATTTTTCCACAGGGTAGTTAACAAACTCAGGTTTCCAGCTCAGTGATACGCACTTTTCCCAGCACTGTTTATTGAAAAGGCTATTGTTTCTCGCATGGGATTTTGTCCATTTAAAAGTAATTAGTTGGTTTCAGACATATTAGTTTATTTCTGGGATGTCTACTCTGTTTTACTGACCTATATGTCTTTGTATAGCCATATTGATCTGGTTTTGGTAATTAGACTTCTGTGATATGTCCCCAAATCAGATATTGTAATGATTCCAGCATTCTATGAGAACTATGTATCCAAATACTTTAGTCATTTGAAAATTACATTTGTCTAATTATTCTTAAGTTGTGAGTATAATTTATTTATTTGAAATACTAGAGCATTTTAAATGATTATCATTATTATTAATATTATTATTTACTTCCTGACTGCATTTTCCCCTCCCTTGTCTTCTTCCAGTCCCTCCCCCACTTCCCCACCTTGCCCCCCTCAATCCATTCCTCCCCTGTTTCTATTCAGAAAAGGGCATCCCTTCAAGGATATCAAACAAGCATGGCATATCAAGTTACAGTAAGACTAGGCACTTCCCCTTGTATTAAGTCTGGGCAAGGAAATCCACTATGAGAAATAGGTCACAAAGCCAGCAAAAGAGTTGAAGATAGCCCCAACCCCACTGTTAGGAGTCCCACAAGAGGACAAAGCTACACAACTATCACATATATGCAGAAGGTCTAGGCCAGTCCCATGCAGGCAACCTGGTTGTATGATCAGTCCCTGTAAACCCCTATGAGCACCAGGTGAGTTGATCCTGTGGCTTTTCTTGTGGTGCCCATGACCCCTCTCACTCCTACAGCCCTCTTCCACAGAACTGCCTGAGCTCTGCATGTGTTTGTCTATGGGTTTCTGCATCTGTTTCCATCAGTTGCTGGGTGAAGCCTCTCTGATGACCATTGGGCTAGGCACCACTCTATGAGTATAGCAATATAGCATTAGGAATCATTTCATTGACTTTATTTTCCAGTCATATTTGGTTTTATCCTAGATATCTGGGCTATTCACCTCAGAGTCCTGGCACTCTAGGCAGTGTCAGGGGTGGGCTGCCTCTTATGGCATGGGTCTCAGACTGGACCAATCATTGGTTGTCCACTCTCACAAATTCTGCACCACATTTAACCCAGAACATCTTGTAGGCAGGACAAACTGTAGGTTGAAGGTTGTGTGGGTGGTTAGTCTTATGAAATACATTATTCACAAGTATTTCCCTCCATTCTTCATGTTGTCTTTAACGGTTTTGGAGATGTAGTTATAGGCGAGTGCTTTGCCTTCATGTATGCCCATGTGCCATATGCATGTATGGTGCCTGTAGACGTCAGAGGGATCAGATGCTCTAGAATTGGAGTTATAGATGTTAGTAGGTCATCATGTGGGTGCAGAAAACCAAACCCAGGTCCTCTGCAAGAGTAGCCATTGCTCTTAACTGTTAAGCCACCTCTCCAACCCAACATGTTGTCTCTTTACTTTAATGACAGTAATCTTGAAGACCCCAAATTATTTAGTTTTGTTGAAGTCTAGTCTATTTATTTTTTATTAAGTTTTTTTTATTTATTTTACATCCCAACTACAAATTCCCTTCCCTCATCTCCTCTTGTTCCTTCACACAAGCTCTTTTCTACCCACCTCCCATCCATTCCTCAGAAAGGATAAGGCCTCCCATGGGAGTCAACAAAGCATGGCATATCCAGTTGGGGCAGCACCAAGCTCCTCCCCCCTGGATCAAGGCTGAGCGAGGCAGCACACCATAAGGAATAGGTTCCAAAAAACCCAGCTCAGGTGCCAGGGACAGATTCTGGTCCCACAGCTAGGGGCCCCACAAACAAACCAAGCTACACAACTGTCACCCACATGCAGAGGACCTAGGTCAGTCCCACCCAGCTCCCTAGTCCTTGAGCTCCCACAGGCTTGGGTCAGCTGTTTCTGTGGGTTTCCCCATCATGATCCTGATCCCCCTTGCTCATATAATCCCATCTCCCCCTCTTCCACTGGACTCCTGCAGCTAGACATAGTGCTTGTATGTGGATCTCTGCATCTGCTTCCATGAGTAACTGGATGAAGCTTCTATGATGACAATTAGGGTAGTCACCAATCTGATTACATGAAAAGGCCAATTCAGGTACCCTACCCACTATTACTAAGAGTCTTAGCTTGGGTCATCCTTCTGGATTCTTGAGAGTTTCCCTGGCACCAGGTTTCTCCCTAACCCCATAATGGCCCCCTCTATCAAGATATCTTCTCCATGACTCCCCCTCTTTGTCCCTCCCCCAACTCAACAATCCCAATTCCTCATGCTCCCATGCCCAATCCCTGCCCTTTATCCCCCTCACCCACAGTTTACCCAGGAGATCTCTTCTATTTTCCCTTCCCAGAGTGATCTATGCATCCCTCTTAGGGTACTCCTTGTTACCTAGCTTCTCTGGGACTGTGGATTATAGCCTGGTTATCCTTTGCCTTACATCTAATATCCACTTATGAGTGAGTACATACAGTGTTTGTCTCTCTGGGTCTGAGTCAACTCACTCAGGATGATTTTTCCTAGCTCCATCCATTTGCCTGCAAATTTCATGATGTCATTGCTTTTTTTTAACCACTGTGTAATACCTCATGTGTAAATGTACCACATTATCTTTATCCACTTTTTGACTGAGGGACATCTAGGTTATTTCCAGGTTCTGGCTATTATGAATAATGCTGCTATGAGCATAGTTGAGCAAGTATCCTTGTGGTATGATTGAACATCCTTCTGCTATATGCCCAGGATTGGTATAGCTGGGTCTTGAGGTAGATGGATTCTCAATTTTCTGTGTAACCGCCATATTGATTTCCAAAGTGACTGTATGAGATTGCAATCCCACCAGCAGTGGGGGAGTATTCCTCTTATTCCACATCCTCTTCAACATAAGCTGCCATTAGTGTCTTTGATCTTAGCCATTCTGACAGATGTTAAGAGGGTATCTCAGAGTTATTTTGATTTGCATTTCCCTCATGATTAAGGATGTTGAGCAATTCCTTAAGTGTATCTCAGCCATTTGAAATTCTTCTGTTGAGAAGTCTGTTTAAATCTGCACCCTATTTTTAATTAGATTATTTGGTATTTTGATATGTAGCTTCTTGAGTTCTTAATATATTTTGGATATCAGCCTTCTGTCAGATGTGAAGTTGGTGAAGTCATTTTCCCATTCTGTAGGCTGCCATTTTGTCTTATTGACAGTGTCCTTTGCCTTACAGAAGCTTTTCAGTTTCAGGAAGTCCCATTAATTAGTTGTTGAACTCAGTGTCTGTGCTACCAGTATTATATTTAGGAAGTAGTTTTCTGTGCTACTGCCCATTTTCTCTTCTATCAGGCTCAGTGTAACTGGATTTATGTTGAGGTCTCTGATCCACTTGGACTTGATTCTTTGAGAAAATCCACAAGATAGATAAGATCGTATCCAAACTGACCAAAAGGCAGAGAAAGAATATCCAAATCATCAAAATCAGAAACTAAAAGGGGGACATAACAGACACCAAAGAAATCCAGGGAATCATTAGGTTATCCTTCAAAACCCTGTACTCCACAAAATTAGAAAATCTAAAAGAAATGGACCATTTTCTGGATAGGTACCACATACCAGGATTAATCCAAGGCCAAATAAACAATTTAAATAGACCTATAACCCCTAAGGAAATAGAAGCAGGTGTTAAGGAACATTGCCAAATTCTTTGTACTAGGCTACAGTTACCCTGATACCCAAATCACGTGAGATAAAACAAAGAAAGGGAAATACAGACCAACCTCCCTCATGAAAACTGATGCAAAAATACTCAATAAAATACTGTCAAAACGAATCCAAGAACACATCAACAACATCATTCACTATGATTAAGTAGGCTTCATCCCAGAGATGCAGGGATGGTTCAACATACGAAAATCTTTCAGTGTAATTCACCATATAAACAAAAAGAAAAAAACCATATAATCATCTCATAAGATGCAGAAAAAGGCTTTGAAAAAAACCAACACCCCTTCATGATAAAGGTCTTCGAGAGATCAGGAATACAAGGAACATACATAAACATAAAGCAATATGCAGCAAGCAAACAGCCACCATCAAATTAAATGGAGAGAAACTCAAAGCGATTCCACTAAAATCAGGAACAAGACAAGGCTGTCCACTCTCCCCTTATCTATTCAATATATTACTCCAAGTTCTAGCTGGAGCAATAAGATGACAAAAGGAGACCAAAGGAATACAAATTGGAAAAGGAGTCAAACTTTCACTATTTGCAGATGATATAATTGTATATATAAGTGACCCCTAAATTTCTACCAGGGAACTCCCACAGCTGATAAACACCTTCAGTAACGTGGGGAGATACAGGATGAACTAAAAAAAAAAACCAGGATGAATCATGAATTTTAAAATTTCTTATTAATAAAAACAAACACAGGGCCAAGTATTGGGGTGAACACTGGAAGATTAGAGAGACAGAGGAAGCCACAGCTAACCTCACCTGGCCAACTTCTCAGCTGATCTTGTTTCCTCAGACTGGATGTCTCTGAGTCCTCATTCAGAATGAATCTCAGCTGAACTGCTTCTCGAAAGCCTGAATGCTTAACCTGCCAAATGCTTCTAGTTTCTGGTCCCCACGTCTTATATACCTTTCGGCTTTCTACCATCACTCCCTGGTATTAAAGGCTGGATTTCTGGGATTAAAGGAGTGAGTCACCATGCTTGGCTGTATCCTTGAACAGATGGATTTCTGCCTCTGGAATGCTAGGATTAAAGGTGTGAGTGCCACCATTTTCTAGCCTTTGTATCCAGTGGATGTTCTGTCTCTGAACCCACATAAGTTTATTAGGGTGCACAATATTTTGGGGAACATAATACTACCACAATACTAGTCATCCTATATACAAATGATAAATGGGCTGAGAAAGAAATCAGAGAAACAACACCCTTTACACTAGCCTATTTTTTATCTTAATACTTGTGTTTTTGTAGCATGTCCCGCTACACCTAGCTTTCCTTGACTTGCGTAAGGTCTGGTAGAACTGAATAGTGAAGCCACTTTGGCTTGACTTTTCCTCCTTAGAGCTGTTTAACCAGCAGTCCAATAATTTTTTACTTGTTTACATTCCATAATTTGAAGTTTCCTGGTTCATCTTTAGAAGTTAACATTTCCTTTTTAAAATGTATTTATTTATTATTTTATGGATATGAGTGCTTCAAAAGATTATTGTGCATGACACCAGAGCAAAGGCATGACTGCAGGAACAGTTAGAGCTCACATCTTGATCTGAAAACAGGAGGCTGAGCAAGAGAAACCTGGGAAGGGCACAAATCTTTTGAAACGTCAAAGCTGATCCCTAGTGACACATTTCCTCCAATAAGGCCACATCTCCTAATCCTTCCCAAACTGTGGCACCAACTAGGGACCATAGTTTCAAATATATGAACCTATAGGGGCCATTTTCATTCAAACAAGCATAATATGTACGTACAAAGTACTTGCCTGGTGCCTGTGGAGATCAGAAGAGCACATTGATTCCCTGGAACTTGGGCTCTATATAGTAATGAGTGGCTATGTCAGGGCTGGGAACCATAGCCAGGTCCTCAGCAAGAGCAAAAAGAACTCTTAACCACTATGCCAACACTCCAGGCCCTACTTCTAATTTTATTTAATTCAGCTGGAGAAGATGCATATTATTTTGGATATTTTTATAATTTACTGAGAATAGTTTATGTACAAATTATCATCTGTTTCAAATAATGTTCCATATGTACTTGATAATAGTATCTACTCTGCTATTATTACATGAATATGTTATATATGTCACTGTTGGTTAACATTGTTGTTCAATCCTTGAAGCTCCTTAATTACCTCTGTTCTAGTTATTATATACATCTTTTTTTTTTTTTTTT